TATAAGTAATCATTAAAAGCATAGCTTACCTAAGTTCCCTACATACAACACATGTTGCAGATATCACTCTCATCATAGGAATGGATAGGAGTTAGACTCCTTTAGTGATTTCTGGCAGCACAACATAACTTAGTTGTCCCTTTGAACTTAGTTCTTAGAATCTCCAGTCATCTAAGTAGGGTTACCATTATGATGACTCTGATGTAATAGGCTTTAATCACATTCCCCTCGATAAACTTTCCCTCATTTGCTCTCTGGTCAAACTTTTTGTTTAGCGGCCGCTATTTTTCCGTTTGACCTTCTCAGTTAGATATCATTGAGTAGTTAGTGAATCCATTATATTATCTTTAGACAATATTCACAACTAAAAAAGCAATGTCATACGGTGTTAAGTCTATGATTACATCAAGACTTATTGTTACTCTATGTCACTCCCATTTAAATAATAAACATAGAGTTGTTCCTTAGGAGTTAATGAAACCATTGTTGCTTCTACTCCAACTTGGTCTTATATAAAGAATTGAGATTCTTTTTGGACCTATTATCGGAACCGTTACTTTGGTAAAATCCTCCAAGTACCCCCACATTTTAAGCATTCTAAGGAAACTTAATTCCTCTTGTTGATATATAAGTATACAAAATATTAATACACCCCCATAATTCTGAGATAAATCAGAATATATCATTAATTGGCGTGCTTGAACTAAATCAAGATGTAAACTATTTTGTGAATATGTCATAATACTAATTTGTCTAAAAACAATTAGACTTCATAACTTGCTTTGGCAGTACAAAGAAGAAATGAACTAAATCTTCTTTTTTCCTAGTTTTATTTTTCGGGTAGAACTGTAGACGCTTTCGTGAAGAACTGTAAACACTTTCGTGTCTAAACTTTGAAACATAGTGGTGGTATTTAAAACATGATCATCATAACATTATGAATAATACTATATGGATCAATTAGTGTATTAATAATAGTTATTGTATTATTATTAACCCTACTTATTATACAAATTACAAATATCAAAAACCTCTTAAACTATGTCACATTATCAATTGGTACACTAGTTTGTACACTAATTAGTGCATGTAGTACTACCGTAACATTATTTATTGAAAATAAACATTTTTTTCTTAATGTACTGAAACAAGCAATTTATAGTAATTGTTGGCTTATTTATTGCACTAAATAAAATTCAGGAAATTATAAGATACACACCTTAAGGAGATGTTTCATATACACTCTTAGTTATATTATTTTTTTGTTTAGTTATGATCAATTTTCTTCTCTAGTTGTGATATTATTTTAGTTATGACTTATAAGATCTTTAATTATATCTCATGTTGTGTTTAATTATGACATTTTTACTAATTATAACTCAAAAAATAAAAAATTATGTTATTATTTTATTTAATTATAGAGTACATATGGTACACACCTTTTGAGGACCGTGTACCGTAATTTTTCCTATTAAAAAATCAACAATGATAGAGAGCTCTAAAAAGAGCTCTATACATGTGACAAGGGAAAAACAAAACAAACAAACAAACACACTGGCACACACATCACATTGCAAGTGAATCCCACTTATTTAAAACTCTCTTTATAAAACTCTCAATCATTTTTCTTAAAAAATTCTTCACAACTCATCAACAAATCCCCTTTAGCAGAGATTTTTTGTTTTTTAAATTTTCTAATCCTTGTATTCTAATATATATTTAATCATGAATCATATTTTAAGATTTTTATATAATCTTATATTTAAAAATACATAATAGGAGCACATAGTTGAAGCACGTTGTGGATGGTGATAATATGAATATTAAAATTATTCATCCTTCTTATAATTTAATGTTATGTTTATTAGTGTGATTAATAGTTAGTAAATTAATAATTTATGGGATAATATGAGATTAGTTATCCGGTTAAATTAGTGAAATAAATAATTCTATTTTATCTACGTTTATTTTGTAATGAATATGAAAATATATAATCTTAATTATATGTTTCTTTTGTATTATTATTAATTGTAGGCTTAAAAAAATCGTCAATTTTGTTGAGTAAGTATCTATCGAAATCTAATTTAGATAACAAACCAAATAATAAAATGTGAGTTACATAGATTAATTAATCACAATCATATCCACAAGGTCAGCCATTGATCTCTATTTGAAATAAGGTTTAACTTTACGTAAATTTTGGCAAATTTTGTTCTCTATATTCATTTATATTATTTTGTGAGAAAAATCCCCATTCGTTACTTTTCTTTTCTTTTTTGATTCATAGTAAAAAGTCAACTATTTTGCTACTTTTTTACATGTATTTTTGTAAAAAAAAAAAAACTAAAATAGCAACTTCATTAAGTGGATAAAAAAGTAAAAAAAATATTGATTAAAATATTTAAAAAGTTTACTAAAAATAATAAAATACGATTTGAAAATTTAAAAAAGGGTGAATTACACTGACACCCACTAAAGTTTTTATTTAATACAGATTTCCCCTTACATTTTAAAAATTACACTTCTCCCCTGTCAGATTAAAATGACATATTTGTCCATTAGCCTTTATGTATATAAAATAATAAAATAATGTAAATATTTTGTACATGTCATTTCAAGGAAATAACAGGTTTAATTTATACAAAAAATATTATTTTTTATTTTTTCGTATTTTTTTTTTATTTTTACTGATTTTTTTTAATATTTTAAGCAATTTTGTTATTTTTTAAACACACCTAATCTACATATAATATTTTGTGACTTTTTTTTTAATATATTCACCAAATACAAAAAAATTAAAATATATGAAAATTCAATACATTTTTGTATTTTGTTATATTCATTGATTTTTTAAAAATATTTTTGTACAAATTTTTTACTTTTTAAGTATATTAAGATTAAGTGGATCTAAAAAAAAAAAAAAATTAAAAATGGTTAATATAATTTTAAAAATTATTAAAAATAAAAATAAAAATGTATTTATAATAAAAATTTAACAATTCTCTATATTATGTGTGTATATATATATTATATATAATATTACTCAAACAATAAATATAAACATAATTTTTACACGTAATATAACTCAACACAAATCTTTTAATTTTAAAACAAAATAGAGGACTTATCATAATTCAAAAGACGAGGAGGCATTTTGTTTCAAACTCAAAAACTCTTTCTTCTCTTTGTTTATTGGGGCAGATCACCATACAAAAGAATCCATACTCTTCTTGTAACTCTTCCATATTTCCAGATTTTGATTTGATTTGAGCAAAGTTCGTTCCAATTCAGAGTTTTTGATTGAGCTAAGATGAGTTCAATATATATATAAGCTCCTACAAAGTGCAAACAATTGCCCACCAGAACCATGTTTGAACCAACTTTAAGACAGTTTCAGATCCTTCCTCCCCTCCATAATAATTTTTACTTATACATGAACCTGCAAAAGACTCTCCAAAATAACACACATAATCAATGCTTTGATTGAGAGGAAAATACAAATACAGAAGATTAAATTCTTCATCCGCAGACCCCTCTCAACTGTCAACGCCCTCCTACAACACAACCAACCAACCAACCAACCCACATCTTCAAGCAACAGCTTCCGCTAATAAAAATCAATTGAATCATTTACTTATTATTAAGTTCATTACACAACATCTAAGAATCTCGTGGTAAATTGGGTACAACCTAATCAAAAAGGGTACAATCTAATACAACAATAGCCCCGGCAATAGTAAAAATGAATAGGCTGTATGGTCAGTTAAGGTTGCCAATAAAAGAATGTACATCGCAACCAAGTTTTAACCAATAATTAAAACTAATAGAATAGTCTAGTTTTTTTTATTTGAAAAAGCTTCAGTAGATCACACACAATTCAAAGAACTTGACTACTCCACTTGTTCTCTATCAAGCAGCAACTATAAAATTCAATGAGGCAAAATCTGACAAACAGTTTCCATGACATTATATTTCACAGGTAGTCACAGCTCACAACTGTTTGGAGATATGAAAAAATAATCAGAAAACAAGTCTAAGAAAGATCAGATCAAACCAAGTATCCCACCCCTCAAAGCGAGGGAATTTAATACATTTAAAAGAAACGAATATTAAAGATGAAGTGCTTTCCTCAAGTGTCTTGGCTTGTCAAACCAGTTGAGGCTAAGGACGGGGATGCATCATTCTCCAGTGCTTTACTGTTCACAGAACAAAAAAAGTAGCTCATCAGTATAAATATATATATATATATATCAATTCAATTTCAAATATAAGTCCTAGAGAACAGAGTGGAGCGGCATAAGTAAAGCAACTTTTGAGTAAAACAAACATGAGAAAATAGCATCAAGTGTTCCAGGTACTAGTAACCAGAATGTGTGCTTATGTTGGCTCTCCATTAACCATTAGATTACTCTTGGTCTAAAAGGGGTCCTTAAAGAGATGTAGGCTGTTTAGTTGATGTTTTGCTGTTCAGTTGGGTGGTGAGATGGCACCCCATCTTTTGTAATTCTCTGGATGGTTTCCATCCTTCTATTGTGTACAGTTTTTTTTTGTTTATACCATTTGCTTACTTGACCCAAAAATAATAATTTACAAAGAGAGAGTATCTTATCTTATCCTCCACACAAGTGTTAGACAAGGGAATTCTTCAAAATTTATAGGAGGGAAAAAAAAAATCTACAATCTTTCATTTGAATTATCATATACCTAAAATATTGGATGGATATTATCTGCCATTGGGATTCGTCTGTATATTATGCATCCAAGTAATTGTTCAAGGGAATTTGATACTGTCGATTAATGTCAAAATGACTTCAACCACACAATAGTCCATTACTCTAAATTGCAGGCTACCAAAGATCATTGACCAACCTTCCCTTGGACCACTAAATAGGGAACAAGGAACAGGAAACATTTTCTTTTCTCGAAAGAAAAATAGAGTAAAATGTCTGCTAATGGCTGTCACCAGACACCATGTATTTTCTTTTCATCATGAGATCATCTTTTCAACACGCTTAAATTCCTAAACTGAACAGTCATGAGCAAATTAATTTCCTTCAAAGAAAATCCACACCATTGGATATTAGGGGTGATGCAAAAGAACTCGCACACATGTTAATGACAATGTGAACTCACCCAAAAGAGCTAGCCAAGGAGAGATCATTTGGGTTCATTGCACCTACTTATGTACCCAAGATCGCTTATCCAAACTTCCGGTGTGAGAAAGGATTGTTACTAACTAGAGCCACCCACCCACAGGCTATTCCCTAGTGCCTAGAGCAAGGTTGTTAAAATCGGGATCCTAAGTAGGATCGGTGAGAGGGTCTGGTGGATCGGATTGTAGGATCGAATTGAGGATCGTAAGATCCTACTTTCTATTAAAAAAAAAAATTAAAATTAAAATTAAAATTAAAATTATACATATTAAAAATAAGGTGAAAAATCATAAAATCTACGATCCTACTTGCGATCCTACCTACGATCCTACCTACAATCCTATACGATCCCTTGCTATCCTACACGATCCTACTTGCGATCCTGTTATAACATTGATCCTACAACGATCTGGATCGTTTTGGCAAAGTAGGATCGTACGATTCTACGATCCGGATCGCGATTTTAACAACCATGGCCTAGAGTCATCCACAAACAGGAATATTCCCTAGACTTTCAAACAAGGTCATGCACACAGGTCAGATCTGACATCATAAGTAACAACCATGGGAACTCACCCAAAAGGACTAGGAAAGGAGTAGTGATTTGGATTCTTTGTTCCTGCTTATATGCCCAACATCACTCATGTAAACTTCCGCTGTGGGGCAAAGGCGTAACAAACTCTTCACCTTTATACCCTCAGAGTCTCACAAGAAGGATGAGCACTAAAATTACCAACACGAACGCGATTCCCTAGTGGCCAACCTCACCCGCACACAGGGCAATATTCCCTGGACTTTCAGACATGGTCCCCGAGCCCATCCGGTCTCGCCAAAAAGGATTAGCCAGGGAATGTCATTTGGGTTCATTGTTTGTACTAATATACCCAAGATCACCTACGTAAACTTCCGTTGCAGGGCAAGGTCGTCACATTTTTTTTTTTTTTGGTGATAAATAAACAACCTTTTATAAAAAAAGTATCAAGACGATGCAAAGAATACAGAATTGAAACCCACAAAAGGCCGAAACAAAACTAACTAATCAAATCTTCCACAAAATCAACAAAAACCAAAACATTTGGATTGACTATACCCTTAACCCAACTATGCAGCACCAACAATAATCTACTTTCTAACCATGCAACGGAATGACACTCATCCTGAAACAAGCGCCTATTCCGTTCCAACCAAACCAACCAAAGCAAACAATGGGAAGAAAGCACCCAAGCCTTCCTGCGCCTCTTTCCCACCCTAGCCCCACCCCAACTTTGTAATACGCCCAACACAGAGACTAGTTGCACCCACACCAAGCCAAACAAAGCAACAACAAAATTCCAAAGCCTAGATGCAAACGGACAATAAAGAAACAAATGATCCACCGTTTCCGCATCCCTACAACACATACAACACCAATTGACCAACATGTGATGTCGCCGAATCAAATTATCAATAGTAAGAATACGACTCAAAGCAGCTTTCCAAACGAAAAAAGCCACCTTCGTTGGAGAACCCATCGCCCCAGACACACTGCCAAGGAAACCCATCGTTACATATTAAGTTACAATAACCAATCCTAGACAATTGCAAAAAAAAAAAAAAAAAAAAAAAAAAAAAAAAAAATCACCAAGTAAATTCTGTATACAGTTGAGCTAGGCTTGACATATGTTTAAGTTAATGTGAAAGGTTGTACACTAATGAATGTACAACATTTAAAGTTGTCTTAGCATGTGCCCTAAGGGCACACGTTCACAAGATCCTATGTTTAAAGAGCCATCCCAAACTAAGGTACGATGGACTCTCTAACCAAGTAATTAACCATTCTATCATTCAAAAATAAATAGAGTTTGAAAAATCCTCACTAAATGTTAATTATCAAACAAATTGTAACATATATATAAAACATACATTCACAAACAGAAATATGGATAAATATCTATACTATTATATAAAGCACACAACTCACTTGGTATGAACACTTTTCTCTCAACCATCCAACTCACACAGCACACAACTCACTTGGTATGAACACTTTTCTCTCAACCATCCAACTCACACAAACCACCAACATTATTAAAAAAATAAAAAAAATATTATAATTAATTTTGAAACAAACATATCAAAAAAAGTTTATGAAATTAGAATTTGTAATTATAAAATAAGTTCTCCTATATTTAACGAAAATTCTTGTAGTTATTCATAGGCTTCATCAAAAAATTTAAATAAAATTATATAATGTTTTAACATCACTTGTCTAAACTAACAAATTCCTACAACCATTTAAATTTCCGTATTGCATAAAGCACTTTAAGAGATAAATACATCATCACATTACATCCTATTTAGTTTGCAATGCCTTATTAGGTAACTCTAAGCAGGAACGGATCTAGGATTCTAATTTTGGGGGGGCTAAAACACAAGCAACTCCAACTTTGAATCGTTTAAATACTAGGTCGTTCCCTTCAAGTGACGCGTTGCGCCTGCCTCCGGGTGTTACGAAAAGTGAGCAAGGGGCGCTGCATCGATGCTTGGGTGCGGTGAAAAATGGGCAAAGATTCCCGTATTTTTCTGGACGAGCATGGGTAAAGAAGCTAGTCCAAGACTGTAGATTTAGGGTAGCCACTTGGAACATAGGAATCTTAACTGGTAAGACAATGGAATTGGTAGATATTATGATTAGGAGGAGAGTTAGTATAACTTGTATACAAGAAACTAAGTGGACAGGTGAGAAAGCTAGGGAAATTGAGGATACCAGTTTTAAACTATATTATAGTGGTAAGGATAGACGCAGGAATGGGGTAAGAATCATAATTGCCAAGGATCACGTGGAAAATGTAGTGGCGGTCATTAGGAAAGGGGATAGGATTATGTTAGTTAAACTAATTATTTGAGGGAATATAGTGAACGTTATTAGTGCATACGCCCCTCAAGTAGGATTAGATGATCAGACTAAGAGGGATTTTTGGGAGTAAAGGTATGAGGTCTTACAGGAGATACCCATAAGAGAGAACCTGGTGATAGGTGGAGATTTTAATGACCATGTAGGCATAGATAAACTAGACTATGAAAAGGTGCATGGTGGATACGGTTTTGGTGATAGAAATGAGACTGGAGAGAGTATCTTAGATTTTACGTTGACTTCTGACCTAGTGGTGGCCAACACTTTGGGCTAGTTTGGCATGTACTAAATAAGTCAAAAAGTCAAAAAGTCACTATCTTATTTAAGTCACATCATCTTATTTAAATCACATCACCTCTCTAACACATCACATCAAACCCAACCCAAACCCAACCCAAACCCACCAATAAGTCAAAAAGTGCACTTTTTTAGGACATCCCAAACCAACCCTTTGTACAAGAAGAGAGAGGAGCATTTGATAACCTTTAAGAGTGGGTCAGTTAAGAGCCAAATAGATTACTTCTTAGTGAGAAAAGTGGACCGCCTAAAATGCAATGATTGCAATGTGATTCCTGGAGAGTGACTGGCCTCTCAACATGGGATTTTGATACTAGATTTATGTTTTAAAGGGCAATACCAAACTAGGAAGGATGGTGGGCGTCATAGGATGAGATGTTAGGACCTAAAAGGGGATAAACTAGAAATATTTAAGAATAGAATAGATAAGGAAGGTACTTGGGACTTGGAAGATGATGCTAACACTATGTGGAACTCGATGGCCAATTGTATGAGGAGAATCTCAAGGGAAGTGCTTGGAGAGCCGAAAGGAACGGGACCCAGCTCCAGGGAAACTTGGTGGTGGAGGAAAGAGGTTCAAGCGGTAGTTAAGATAAAAAAAGAGTGCTTTAAAAAATAGCAGAAGAATAGAATTGAGAAAAACCTTAAGAACTATAGATCGGCTAATAAGGAGGTCAAGAAAGTCGTGAGAGAGGCTAAGTTGAAAGCTTATGATGACCTATACACTAGACTAGATAGTAAGGAGGGAGAGAAGAGAGTATACAAACTTGCTAGGATACAGGAGAGGAAAACAAGAGATTTTAATCAAGTTAAATGCATCAAGAGTGAGGATTATAAGGTATTGGTGAAGGAT